CATGCCCGGCCACGGCTTACCGTGCTTTAGGAAGAAGGCATGGTCATGGAAGAAAAGAAACAGGTGCAGCTCGTGGGAGGTGGCATGCCCGGCCACTGCTTACCGTGCTTTAGGAAGAAGGCATGGTCATGGAAGAAAAGAAACAGGTGCAGCTCGTGGGAGGTGGCATGCCCGGCCACGGCTTACCGTGCTTTAGGAAGAAGGCATGGTCGTGGAAGAATAGAAACAGGTGCAGCTCGTGGGAGGTGGCATGCCCGGCCACTGCTTACCGTGCTTTAGGAAGAAGGCATGGTCATGGAAGAAAAGAAACAGGTGCAGCTCGTGGGAGGTGGCATGCCCGGCCACGGCTTACCGTGCTTTAGGAAGAAGGCATGGTCATGGAAGAAAAGAAACAGGTGCAGCTCGTGGGAGGTGGCATGCCCGGCCACTGCTTACCGTGCTTTAGGAAGAAGGCATGGTCATGGAAGAAAAGAAACAGGTGCAGCTCGTGGGAGGTGGCATGCCCGGCCACTGCTTACCGTGCTTTAGGAAGAAGGCATGGTCATGGAAGAAAAGAAACAGGTGCAGCTCGTGGGAGGTGGCATGCCCGGCCACTGCTTACCGTGCTTGACAAAGAAGGCATGGTCGTGGAAGAAAAGAAACAGGTGCAGCTCGTGCGAGGTGGCATGCCCGGCCACTGCTTACCATGCTTTAGGAAGAAGGCATGGTCATGGAAGAAAAGAAACAGGTGCAGCTCGTGGGAGGTGGCATGTCCGGCCACTGCTTACCGTGCTTTAGGAAGAAGGCATGGTCATGGAAGAAAAGAAACAGGTGCAGCTCGTGGGAGGTGGCATGCCCGGCCACTGCTTACCGTGCTTTAGGAAGAAGGCATGGTCATGGAAGAAAAGAAACAGGTGCAGCTCGTGGGAGGTGGCATGCCCGGCCACTGCTTACCGTGCTTGACAAAGAAGGCATGGTCGTGGAAGAAAAGAAACAGGTGCAGCTCGTGGGAGGTGGCATGCCCGGCCACGGCTTACCGTGCTTTAGGAAGAAGGCATGGTCATGGAAGAAAAGAAACAGGTGCAGCTCGTGGGAGGTGGCATGCCCGGCCACTGCTTACCGTGCTTTAGGAAGAAGGCATGGTCATGGAAGAAAAGAAACAGGTGCAGCTCGTGGGAGGTGGCATGCCCGGCCACGGCTTACCGTGCTTTAGGAAGAAGGCATGGTCATGGAAGAAAAGAAACAGGTGCAGCTCGTGGGAGGTGGCATGCCCGGCCACTGCTTACCGTGCTTTAGGAAGAAGGCATGGTCATGGAAGAAAAGAAACAGGTGCAGCTCGTGGGAGGTGGCATGCCCGGCCACTGCTTACCGTGCTTTAGGAAGAAGGCATGGTCATGGAAGAAAAGAAACAGGTGCAGCTCGTGGGAGGTGGCATGCCCGGCCACTGCTTACCGTGCTTTAGGAAGAAGGCATGGTCATGGAAGAAAAGAAACAGGTGCAGCTCGTGGGAGGTGGCATGCCCGGCCACTGCTTACCGTGCTTTAGGAAGAAGGCATGGTCATGGAAGAAAAGAAACAGGTGCAGCTCGTGGGAGGTGGCATGCCCGGCCACGGCTTACCGTGCTTTAGGAAGAAGGCATGGTCGTGGAAGAAAAGAAACAGGTGCAGCTCGTGGGAGGTGGCATGCCCGGCCACTGCTTACCGTGCTTTAGGAAGAAGGCATGGTCATGGAAGAAAAGAAACAGGTGCAGCTCGTGGGAGGTGGCATGCCCGGCCACGGCTTACCGTGCTTTAGGAAGAAGGCATGGTCATGGAAGAAAAGAAACAGGTGCAGCTCGTGGGAGGTGGCATGCCCGGCCACTGCTTACCGTGCTTTAGGAAGAAGGCATGGTCATGGAAGAAAAGAAACAGGTGCAGCTCGTGGGAGGTGGCATGCCCGGCCACTGCTTACCGTGCTTTAGGAAGAAGGCATGGTCATGGAAGAAAAGAAACAGGTGCAGCTCGTGGGAGGTGGCATGCCCGGCCACTGCTTACCGTGCTTGACAAAGAAGGCATGGTCGTGGAAGAAAAGAAACAGGTGCAGCTCGTGCGAGGTGGCATGCCCGGCCACTGCTTACCATGCTTTAGGAAGAAGGCATGGTCATGGAAGAAAAGAAACAGGTGCAGCTCGTGGGAGGTGGCATGTCCGGCCACTGCTTACCGTGCTTTAGGAAGAAGGCATGGTCATGGAAGAAAAGAAACAGGTGCAGCTCGTGGGAGGTGGCATGCCCGGCCACGGCTTACCGTGCTTGACAAAGAAGGCATGGTCGTGGAAGAAAAGAAACAGGTGCAGCTCGTGGGAGGTGGCATGCCCGGCCACTGCTTACCGTGCTTTAGGAAGAAGGCATGGTCATGGAAGAAAAGAAACAGGTGCAGCTCGTGGGAGGTGGCATGCCCGGCCACGGCTTACCGTGCTTTAGGAAGAAGGCATGGTCATGGAAGAAAAGAAACAGGTGCAGCTCGTGGGAGGTGGCATGCCCGGCCACTGCTTACCGTGCTTTAGGAAGAAGGCATGGTCATGGAAGAAAAGAAACAGGTGCAGCTCGTGGGAGGTGGCATGCCCGGCCACTGCTTACCGTGCTTGACAAAGAAGGCATGGTCGTGGAAGAAAAGAAACAGGTGCAGCTCGTGGGAGGTGGCATGCCCGGCCACGGCTTACCGTGCTTTAGGAAGAAGGCATGGTCGTGGAAGAAAAGAAACAGGTGCAGCTCGTGGGAGGTGGCATGCCCGGCCACTGCTTACCGTGCTTTAGGAAGAAGGCATGGTCATGGAAGAAAAGAAACAGGTGCAGCTCGTGGGAGGTGGCATGCCCGGCCACGGCTTACCGTGCTTTAGGAAGAAGGCATGGTCATGGAAGAAAAGAAACAGGTGCAGCTCGTGGGAGGTGGCATGCCCGGCCACTGCTTACCGTGCTTTAGGAAGAAGGCATGGTCATGGAAGAAAAGAAACAGGTGCAGCTCGTGGGAGGTGGCATGCCCGGCCACTGCTTACCGTGCTTTAGGAAGAAGGCATGGTCATGGAAGAAAAGAAACAGGTGCAGCTCGTGGGAGGTGGCATGCCCGGCCACTGCTTACCGTGCTTGACAAAGAAGGCATGGTCGTGGAAGAAAAGAAACAGGTGCAGCTCGTGGGAGGTGGCATGCCCGGCCACGGCTTACCGTGCTTTAGGAAGAAGGCATGGTCATGGAAGAAAAGAAACAGGTGCAGCTCGTGGGAGGTGGCATGCCCGGCCACTGCTTACCGTGCTTGACAAAGAAGGCATGGTCGTGGAAGAAAAGAAACAGGTGCAGCTCGTGGGAGGTGGCATGCCCGGCCACTGCTTACCGTGCTTGACAAAGAAGGCATGGTCGTGGAAGAAAAGAAACAGGTGCAGCTCGTGGGAGGTGGCATGCCCGGCCACGGCTTACCGTGCTTTAGGAAGAAGGCATGGTCGTGGAAGAAAAGAAACAGGTGCAGCTCGTGGGAGGTGGCATGCCCGGCCACTGCTTACCGTGCTTTAGGAAGAAGGCATGGTCATGGAAGAAAAGAAACAGGTGCAGCTCGTGGGAGGTGGCATGCCCGGCCACTGCTTACCGTGCTTGACAAAGAAGGCATGGTCGTGGAAGAAAAGAAACAGGTGCAGCTCGTGGGAGGTGGCATGCCCGGCCACTGCTTACCGTGCTTTAGGAAGAAGGCATGGTCATGGAAGAAAAGAAACAGGTGCAGCTCGTGGGAGGTGGCATGCCCGGCCACGGCTTACCGTGCTTTAGGAAGAAGGCATGGTCATGGAAGAAAAGAAACAGGTGCAGCTCGTGGGAGGTGGCATGCCCGGCCACTGCTTACCGTGCTTTAGGAAGAAGGCATGGTCATGGAAGAAAAGAAACAGGTGCAGCTCGTGGGAGGTGGCATGCCCGGCCACGGCTTACCGTGCTTTAGGAAGAAGGCATGGTCATGGAAGAAAAGAAACAGGTGCAGCTCGTGGGAGGTGGCATGCCCGGCCACTGCTTACCGTGCTTTAGGAAGAAGGCATGGTCATGGAAGAAAAGAAACAGGTGCAGCTCGTGGGAGGTGGCATGCCCGGCCACTGCTTACCGTGCTTGACAAAGAAGGCATGGTCGTGGAAGAAAAGAAACAGGTGCAGCTCGTGGGAGGTGGCATGCCCGGCCACGGCTTACCGTGCTTTAGGAAGAAGGCATGGTCATGGAAGAAAAGAAACAGGTGCAGCTCGTGGGAGGTGGCATGCCCGGCCACTGCTTACCGTGCTTGACAAAGAAGGCATGGTCGTGGAAGAAAAGAAACAGGTGCAGCTCGTGGGAGGTGGCATGCCCGGCCACTGCTTACCGTGCTTGACAAAGAAGGCATGGTCGTGGAAGAAAAGAAACAGGTGCAGCTCGTGGGAGGTGGCATGCCCGGCCACGGCTTACCGTGCTTTAGGAAGAAGGCATGGTCGTGGAAGAATAGAAACAGGTGCAGCTCGTGGGAGGTGGCATGCCCGGCCACTGCTTACCGTGCTTTAGGAAGAAGGCATGGTCATGGAAGAAAAGAAACAGGTGCAGCTCGTGGGAGGTGGCATGCCCGGCCACGGCTTACCGTGCTTTAGGAAGAAGGCATGGTCATGGAAGAAAAGAAACAGGTGCAGCTCGTGGGAGGTGGCATGCCCGGCCACGGCTTACCGTGCTTTAGGAAGAAGGCATGGTCGTGGAAGAAAAGAAACAGGTGCAGCTCGTGGGAGGTGGCATGCCCGGCCACGGCTTACCGTGCTTTAGGAAGAAGGCATGGTCGTGGAAGAAAAGAAACAGGTGCAGCTCGTGGGAGGTGGCATGCCCGGCCACTGCTTACCGTGCTTTAGGAAGAAGGCATGGTCATGGAAGAAAACAAACAGGTGCAGCTCGTGGGAGGTGGCATGCCCGGCCACGGCTTACCGTGCTTTAGGAAGAAGGCATGGTCATGGAAGAAAAGAAACAGGTGCAGCTCGTGGGAGGTGGCATGCCCGGCCACGGCTTACCGTGCTTTAGGAAGAAGGCATGGTCATGGAAGAAAAGAAACAGGTGCAGCTCGTGGGAGCCAAAGCGCTGCAGCTTGTCCGCTTTGCCGCCCGCTGCCATGCCCGGCCACTGCAGCAGGAACGCCAGCTGCTGCCACGTGTCATGCTCCGACGGGCTGATGAAGCTGGCCAATAAGCCGTGGGCTTGCTCGATGGAGTCAAATATCTGAGAGGATGAGATGCGGGGGTCGGAGGGAGGGGGGGGGACAGTGGAGTGCGGTCAGGTGCGGTGGTGCAGGGTGGGGTGGAAATCATGGACACGAGGAAGGGAGTGGAAGAAGCAAGACTGTCAGTCTATAAAAGCAGCAAGAGCTGTGGTAAATGTAATCACTGCTTGAGCAACATGAGTGACAACAACCACCAATGACTCACCGCCACCTGTGCCATTGCCACGTCAGCAATGCGGTGCACCTCTCCTCTCCTCCACACCTCTACAGCCCTCCTCTCGTGGTAGTGCTTAGCTGGATCCAACGCCTCCAGTACCACCCACTCCCTCCCCTTCTCCTCCCTCCCCCTCTCCTCCCTCCCCTTCTCCCCCTCACTCCCCTCCTCCTCCCCCCATGCTTCCTCCGGAACGAGCAAATCACAGCGCGCCACCTGGCACCCCCACGCGCTCTCCCCCGAGTCCACAGCCACGACAGTCAATGACAGACTGCCACGTGGCAGGGAGGATCTCGGCACCGCAACCCACCCATCCATCCCCTCCTCATCACCCTCCCCTCCAACCCCCACTCTCCCATCCCCTCCAGCCGGCTTCAAATTGGCAAGAAGAACGGGGGTCGGTGCAAAGAGCGGGGCGTGTTTGGGAGGGGGACCTGACTGGAACGAGGAGGCGAAGCCACAAGCAGCACCAACACCCCCACCACGATACATCATCGCCCTTCCCCTTGCCGGACCAGCAAAACACATGGCAGCTTGCGGTGCAGCAAACATGGCCATGGGGGCGCCTTCTCGCTCCACCATCATATCCTTGTCGACCCGATTGCGCTGCAGCATCACCCCCATCATCTGCTTCTTCTTTGCTGCGGGATCCGAGTGGAGTTGGCGCGGAGGGGGAGGGGCGCGCTTGGTGGTGTTCGCAGCGGTGACGCGCGGGTGGATGAGGAGAGAAGGCAGGGGCAGCAGGTGCCCCACCCGTTCCTTCTCTCCGTTGGTGCCGGTGAGTGCCTTCTGACGGTTCTGCACATAGCTGGGGGTTAGAATTGGGGCAGACACAGAGGCAGGTGCGCAAGGAGAGGGGTGGGTGACGCGTGAGTGGATGAGGAGGGAGGGCAGGGGCCAGAGGGGCCTCACCCACTCACTGGCTCTGGTGATGGTGCTTCCGCCATCTGGCAGTTGTGTGGTTCTAGAGAATTCTAAGGAATGAGATGCGCATGGACGACTATAGGTTCTCTCAGTTTCTCATATGGTGGTGGTGCGTTGCGTACACCATTCTGGCAGCTCTGCACACACCTGGGGAAGAGGAAAGAGGAGGGCACGAAATGGGGTGGGTCACATTTACCACCCTTTTTGACTCTCCACCTTTAGAAAAGTATGAAAGAAGAACCCCCTTCACACTCCCATTCATCCCCCCTTTACACTCACATGACCTCCTCATCCATCAACTGCTTCTCACCATACTCACTCGCCACCTTTTGGCAATTATCAAACAAGACCCCCCTTTACAATCACGTTACTTATGAGGCGCCCCAATAGACACTCACATGATCTCTTCATCCATCAGCTGCTTCTCGCCATACTCACTCTCCACCTCCTCCAACCCCACCCTCCCCTCCTCCCCTCCTTCCCCCCCCCACCCAGCTCCCCTCCACACTTCCTCCACCCCGTCCTCCTCCCCCTCCCCTCCTGCCCCCCCAAACACACTCAGCTCAGCACCAGGCACAGCCTTGGCCACCATTCCTTGCCGCACCACCACATGCACGCGTGTGCTCGCGCCACACCCCCCAAGCTTCACCCACAGAACCTTCCTCCCCACCTTCCCTCCCCCACCTCCTCCCCCTCCCTGCCCGACTTCCCCTCCCCCTCCCCCTCTCCCGCCCGGCACCACCCCACTCCCACCAACAGCAGCAGCGCAGATGGTGAGCGGGCTCGTGGGCGGCAGTTTCCGAAGCTCTTTGCGCGCCGAGTCATCGGCCCAGCCGGGGCAGGGGAGAGAGGCGGGGGTGGGTACAGGAGTGGGGTGCGGGGAAGAGGGTGGGGGAGAGTGGGCGGAGGAGGAAGGGGGAGGAGGCAGGACGCGGATGGAGATGGTTTCGTTGTCCCATGGGAGGAAGAGGGAGTAGTCCCCTGGTGGCACTGTCAGTAGCTCCAGATAGCCCTGTTGAATGGGGGTAGGAGGGAAAGAAAAGAAAGCAAGGGGGAACGGGAAGGACGTTGATGGAAACGGTTAGGATGTCTTATGGGAGGAAGAGGGAGTAGTCGCCTGGTGGCACTGTGAGTAACTCCAGATAGCCCTGTTTGGGGCAGGACGAGCAGAGAGAGATGGCGGAAGGTGGAGGCAGGGCGGAGAGAAAGCAAGGGGGAACGGGAAGGACGTTGACAGAATCGGGTAGGTTGTTTCATGGTAGGAAGAGAGAGAAGTCCCTTGGTAGCACGGTGAGTAACTCCAGATAGCCCTGTTGGACAGTGGAAGGATGGAGGGAAGGGCAGGGAAGCGATGAGAAGAAAGCCAAGAATGGAAAGCATGAGCATCGGGGAAAGACATAGATGGATGGATTTGTCGTCCCATGGGAGGAATATGGGGTAGTCTCCTGGTGGCACTATGAGCAACTCCAAATGGCTCTGTTTGAGGGGCGGACGAGCAGCGAGTGACGGGAGGTAGACACAGGAGAAAATGATTGAAGAAGGATCGAAAAACGTAAGACACGAACGAAGAATGCGAAAGGAGGCTTGGTATAGGAGAGAGAGCTGGGAAGGTGGAAAGAGCAGCACCCTCTCGCGCTCACCACTCTGTGTCTGTCTGTGTCTCACCTCTCTCATCTGCAGTCGCTGCGTGCAGTCTGCCAGGAACACTTTCTCGACTGCGTATTCCGATGCAGCAGCCACGCGGAAGAGACACGGGGAGACTGGTGGGACTGCAGCAGCTTCAGATGTTCCAACCGCAGCAGCAGCAGAACCAACATCACCACCACCACCGCCCGCAGCAGCAGCATCAGCAGCAGCATGGGAGACATAAGGGAGTCGCAGAATCACTTTATCCGAGCCTGTTGCTGCACCATCACCAGCAGCACCGCCAGCAGCAGCAACACCACCAGCAGCAGCATCACCATACACCCTCTCCTCCCCGCCCACCACCACCACGTGAGACGGCAGCTTCCCTGCTGGACTCCCACCCACACTGCCACGTGGACCAATCAGAGCAAGCCGTGGTGCATGCACATGCCACACGTGTTCCCACTCCTCCTTCACCCCCCCCATCCACTCCTCCTCTTCCTCATCCCCATCACCTTCCCCACCCCTCCACTCTTCCCATTTCCCCAAGCCCGCCCTATCCGTTCCAGCCCCCCCTCCCCCTCGTTCCTTCCCTTTCCCCTCTCCCTCCCACTCCCCCACCCGCCTCGCCCCAACCCTCTCCACCCCTTCCAAACACCCCAAATACACACACCCTTCATCGTCGCTTCTCATCACGACACCTGGCGACCATTCATTGGCCAGCCGGTGCCGCAGCCGCACAACCACCCGCCTCCCCCCTTTCCCCTCCCCCGCTTCCCCCACTACCCGCAACACATACCCCCCCATGCCCCCCTTCCCTGCTCCTCCCCCTTTACTCTCCCCCATCCCTTCCTCCCCCTCACCTCTTATCTCCAAAAACAAAGATTCCACTTCGACTGGCCTCTGCTTTTTCCCCCCATTCCCCCCCTCCGCTCCCCCTACTTCCCCCAGAATCATTCCCCCTCCGCCCCCTGCCCCTCCCCCCGCCCCACTCCCCTCCCACGCGCTCCCATTCGCTGCCGCCCTTCCCCCAGGCTCAAATGGCGCCAGCACCTTCCAGGAAGCTTCTGCGCTCAGTGCCTTCTCCTGCCCGCCCTTGCTCTGCAACACCACTGTTCCCCGGAGGGCCACTTCCAGACAAACTGCGCCGTCCGGGACTTTTGTCCTGTGTGTTAACTCCGAATCCGGCCGGAGGGAGAGGTTGGGAATGCGAACGGTCACATCCTGGCCTTCCAGAAGCTTCCAGGAAACTACGAGCTCAGGGGAGCGTAGGAGAGAGAGGGGGGCGGCTGGGAGAGAGGAGGAGGAGTGTGAGTGAGAAGGGGAGAGAGTGAGGGAGGGGCGGAGGAGGATGGTGACGTCAGCAGAGGGGCGGAGGAAGGTTTGATCGAGCCAGGCATGCAAGTTGAGGTTGTAACTGGGGGAGGTGGGGGGGTGGGGGAAGAATGAGGAGAGAGGGACAGGGGGAAAGGAGGGAGTGAGGGGAGGCAGGAGGCCAAGGAGGAATGACAAGAGGGGGGAGGGGGGAGGGTGGGGGGAAGGGGGTGTAAAAGTGCAGAAGGGGGAAAAAGCAGGAAAGGGGCAAACTTAAAAGTGAACGAAAGAAAGAGATCGGTTTTCGACCTCTCTATGACCCCTATTTCCTGCCCACCTTTCTCCGGGCACTAGTGTGCATGCACCGACAGCAGCCAGGCACCCGTCAAAGGGCGCCAGAGAGAGCACCTTCCCTTCCCTCCCTCCACTCACCTTTCTTCTGGAACTTGCACGGATGCACCCACAGCAGCCAGACACCCATGGAAGAGCACTGGAGAGATAGCACTGGCAGAGAGAGCACCCACTAACAGCAGCAAAAGGCACCCTATCTCCCCCTCTTCCCCTGCTCACCTTTCTTCTGGAACTTGCACGGATGCACCCACGGCAGCCAGGCACCCGTCAAAGAGCACCGGAGAGCACTGCCTGCTGCTGGCAGTGAAGGGGAGAACCACCTCTCCACCGCTCCCAACTGCATACTCCACCCCCTCCACCCACACACTCGCCGCCCGGCCTCCCAGCACTCCCTTCTGAACGCTCGTCCCAACCAACAAACTCGGCTCTCCCCCATCCGAGCCTTGGTCCGGACCTCCACCCGAGGCTGCAGCCGAGCCTCCATCCGAGCCTCCATCCGAGCCTCCATTCGAGCCTCCAGTTGCAGTGGTGGGCAGCACGAGAGCGCCGTCTTCGTTGAGCATTCGGATGGCGAGGCCGCGCGGGGTGAGGGTGGCCGTGTGGCTGGTTGGCGTGGGGGAAGGGGTGTGAAGAGGGGTTAAGACATTGGCTGAGTGAGCATGCGAATGGCATGGCTGTGAGGGTGAGATGGACGTGTTGCTGAGTGGATTGGGGGAAAAGGGAGTGTGATGAAGGGTTGTGAAAGAAAGAATGTGAAAGGGTGTGAAGAGGGGTTAGGGTGTCAAGTGAGAGCACGAGAGTGCTGTCTTCGTTGGGCATGCGAATGGCAAGGCCGCGAGGGTGAGGGTGGACGTGTGGCTGATTGGAGTGGGGTGGGTAAGAGGGGGTGTGAAGAGGCGTGAAGGGGTGTAAAACGGTGTGAAGAGGGGTTAAGACAGCAACTGAGAGCACCAGAACGCCGTCGTCATTGACCATGCGGATGCAGAGGCTGCGAGGGGTGAGGGTGGACGTGATGGGCCAGGCAAGCCGCGCACACTTTGATTCGCCTCAAAATCGTGGGGAAGAGACGACTTTCGAGGCGCCTTAGAATTGCCCCTTTCCACTCATAGCCCACGCGCACACTCCAGTAACCTTCGGACAGACACCATGGTTCACACAACATAATCGACACACGGATCGCCACATACACGACACAAGGCTCGAAACATGCGCATTCCTTATGTGCACAATAATCTGTCGCGCGTTAGCGTCCACTCACACTAGATTGCCCTTTCGTATAATCGCCCGCGCGCACAGTCCGCCGCCCTCCAGCTGCACTACAAACACGCCCCGCCGCCCGGCCAGCTGCGGCAAATCCACACTCAGGATTCGCTTTACAAGGGAGAAGGGGCGAGAGGGGGCGGCGGAGGAGGAGGGGGTGGTGGTGGTAGTAGTGGTGGTGGTGGGAAGGGGAGTTTGTCGTTCCTGTTCCTGCTGCTGCAGATGAATCTCCTGCTGATACCTGTTACAACAACGAAGAACGAATAAGGGGGAGCAAGTCGGCGAGAAGACGGGGAGGAAAATTGGGAAAACTTTGTAAGAGTGTGCAGGACGAAAGGACGAAAGGACGAGAAGATAGAGAGGAAAAGGGAGGGTGTCGGATTTCGACATCAAGAAGGTTGAACAACAAAGTCTGACATTCAGAAACTGATAATTCCAGATGTGAAAAAAGAAGAGAAATAAATAAAAAAGAAAAAGGAAGAAAGAAAAAGGAAAAGAAAGAAAGAAAGAAAAAGCCATACCATGGCTTGAGGCCGTGCAGTGAGCCCAAGTTGGAGAATTCGGTGTCAAGCGGCGAGGAGAGCAGATAGCGCAGCGAGTCCACCTCGAATAGCTTCACCTGCAGCGTGCAGGGGGGGGGGAGGGAGGAGAGCGTTGAAGGGGGACTTTAGAGTAGTGACAAAAAGGAGGAGGCTGATTAGAATGTCAAAGAAGAGGAGAGCAGGTAGCGCAGCGAGTCCACCTCGAATAGCTTCACCTGCAGCGCGGAGGGGGCATTGACAGGCGAGATTCAAAGATTTGACAGGAAAAGGGAAAAATGTATGCGAGTGTCACAGGGGAGGAGAGCAGGTAGCGCAGTGATTGCACGTCTGCACGTCGAATAGATTCACCTGCAGAGAGAGAGGGGGAGGGAGGGTGCACTGAGGGGAACTTCAGAGTACCGCCAAAAGAAAGGGGTTTGCCTAGACCAGAGTGTGAAAACGGAGGAGAGCAACAGTGCAGTGGGTGAGCTTCACCTGGCAGGGAAATTGAAGAGACGAAACGGGGAGAGAGATGGGGAAGAGGGTGCGTCACAGAGTCGGGGAAAACAAAGAGATGAAAGGATGAGACGGATTGAGTGAGGTATACAAAGAGTAGGGGAGAAGGGTGGGGAAGAGAGGTGAAGAGGCGAGAGTGGAGAATCTGCTATGTGGCGACGAGGAGCAGGAGGAGTGAGATACAGGACGAGAGAGAGGCGAGGGGAGGAGGTGGAAGAGGAGAAAATGAACGAGCAAAAGGCAGCTCACAAATGGATGAGAACTCTCAGACACCATCCAAGTGGAAATGCAGCTCACAGGTGGGACCAAAGGCCGGAAATCACACCTTGTATTGCAGTATGTATGCAAGAGCAACAAACACTGCACTCACTTTTACAAGCTTCGGCTTATACGCTCCTCGAAGCAGTCTATAACGAGGACAAACAGCTTACAGCGAGTACAGGCACATTCTTCACAATCACGTCCAGATGCACCGAATCCGCTGCCCGCCACACCCGCCGGTTGTGGGCGGCAAAGTCCAGCTGGCAGCGCCCCGTCAGCTCAGCCAACGCGCTGCTGCCAGCTGTCGGGTTGTCAGGCGCGTGCTGGCGCTGATAGGACGTGAGATAGAGGTGTACCCAGCTGCGAGAAGGGGGTTGGAGAGGGAGGGGAGGAGTTAACGGCAAGCAAGGGAAAATGGGGTTGACAGGGCGTGAGGTAAAGGTGTGCCCAGTCGTGAGGGGAAGGGGGAGAGAGGAGGATCGACGAGACTCACACAGGGTAGCATGGGTCGTCCCCGCAGCACAGCCTGCTCTCAGCCAATAGCAGATAAACGCGGGCATTCCCACAGCACGGGAATAGAAATCAGCGGACAGAGACGTGAGGGAAGCATGGAGAGACGAGAGACTCACACAGGGTAGAAGGGGTCGTCTCCGCAGCACAGCCTGCTCTCAGCCAATAGCAGCGCCACGTAGCTCCAGTCCAGCTTGCCCTGCCCAATCAGAGGCTGCCACGTGCGCATGGCCCTCTCCACCAGCGCCGCTGCCTCCGGGGAATCCGGTGCAAACGGGAACTGCGCTGATGCTGCCGCTGATGCTGCTTCTGCTGACGTGGTAGATGCTGACGTGGCAGGAGTCGAATGGAACATAGAGCGAGAGGTGATACTCGTAGGAAGAGTGAAATGGGAGGCAGAGGAGGAGGCGGAGGGAGGGGAGGTGAGGGAGGAGGAGAAGGAGGGCGAGGAGAAGAGGTTTCGGAAGAGCTGGGCTACGAGCTCCTTGACATCCGATGGTGTGGGGCAGGAGGAGAACAGAGGGAAGTAGGCGAATGCCTCCTCCTCGTGTGGCCTGGCAGTGGGTATTGGGGATTGGGAAAAGGCACTTTGGAACAGCTGGGCTACAAGCTCCTTGACATCGGATGGGGAGGGGCAGGCGGCGAAGAGCGGGAAGTAGGCGAACGCCTCCTCCTTGTGTGGCCTGGCATTGATGTGAAGATTGGGGATTGGGGAATGGGCATTGGGGATTGCGAATTGGGGATTCGGGATTGGGGATTGGGGATTGGGGATTGTGAATTGGGGATTGGGGATTGTGAATTGGGGATTGGGGATTGTGAATTGGGGATTGGGGATTGTGAATTGGGGATTGGGGATTGGGAAAGGTACATTGGTTAGAACTGCTGGGCTACGAGCTCCTTGGCGTTGGATGGGGAGGGGCAGGAGGAGGAGAAGAGCAATAGAAGCCCAAATGCGTCCTCCTCGTGTGGCCTGACGTTGGGTTGGAACGGGAATTGGGGAAAGGTGGATGGGACAGTTGCACTACGAGCTCCTGAACGTCTAATGAGGAGAGGCAGGAGGCGAAGAGAGGAATGTAGGCGAATGCGTCCTCCTCGTGTGGCCTGGCGGGGTTCGGGATGGGTGGAGGGGGGACGACGCCGTAAGGGCCGTTGTGGATGAGGGAGAGGAAGGCGAGACGGAGAAGGCAAGGAGGAGAAAGAGGACTGACGGAAGTAAGAGGTGCGGGCTGAATCAACTGAACCTACCGTGCAGGAGGGAAGACGCCGTAAGGACTGTTGTGGATGAGGGAGAGGAAGGCGAGGAGGAGCGGAGGAAAGAGGAGGTGCTGAAATGAACTGAGCCAAACCTTGCAGGGGGGAAGACGCCGTAAGGGCCGTTGTGGATGATCGAAAGGAAGGCGAGGAGGAGGGCAGCGTCCGCCTGGCCGTGCACGAGGCTGAGCGTGAGGCGCGCAAACAGCAGCTTCGCCTTGAGGTGGTCGCTGGTTAGCAGCGGTTGGATGCGGTCCAGATAGCTGGTGGGTGAGGGAATGGGAGGAAGGAAGGGTGAATTTGTCTGCCTGGCCGTGCACGGGGCTCAGCGTGAGGAGTGTAAACAGAAGGTTCGCCTTCAGGTGGTCACTGGTTAGCAGCGGTTGGATGCGGTCCAAATAGCTGGTGGTGGGTGGGGAGGAAGGGAAGAGGGTGTGATGGGAAGAAGGGACGTTTTTTTGCATCTGATCCAGATAGCTGGTGGGTGGAAGCAAGGGGATGAAAGGCGCAGAAAGAGAATGACTGAGAGTGAGGCGAGCAAAGAGAATGACTGAGAGTGAGGCGAGCAAAGAGTGGCAGCACAGAGGTAGAGGCTGCGAGGGTTGTTAGCCTCTGTATTGAGGGGCATCGGCTTCTTTAACCGTCTCAAAACGTCTCAAAAGACAAGTAAGCAGCACAGTGAAACGAACTTGGATAATAATGCTGATAGGTAGGCAATAGTAAGAGCACTCGTAACAATCAACAAACCTCAGGATCTGATCGACGCTTTCTGGGGTTGGTGCGGAGGTGCCCTGAGACATGCCACGTGGCAGCATCTGAATGGCCCGCAGCGCCAGCATGCGCGGATGTGTGGCGATGGACGGGAAGCGGGCGGCAAGAGACTGTAGCTGCGGGGGAGTGAGGATCTGCAGAATCGGGAGGCTGGAAGGGGAGGGGCGAAACATCAGGAAACGGGGGGAGAGGGAGGGAGGGGGGGGGGATTGGGGAGGGGGGGGGAGGAGAAATGAGGAGGGGGAGGATGAGGGGAAGCATGAGGCGGAAGGGGGCAGGGAGAAGCGGGTAGGGAAGGAAGGGAGAGAAAATACGGGTGGGAAGGGCGATTTGGGAGAATAGAGATAGGAAGAGGGCAGAGCAGGGGGAGTGGGTGCTACAGAGGAGGATATGTGGACTAGGGAAATTATTGGATGAGAAGCAAAATAAGAGACATTTCTAAGGGGAAAACAAAAAAAAACAAACAAAGAAACAAACACCGACACAGTTGAACCGCCCGTGGCAAGGTATCTCAGAAGGCGATGCCCCGTGAGTTGAGTTCGTTAGTGGGGCCTACCTGAGACGTCTGAAGGCGTCCGGCTCATCGCGCTCCAGCCGCTGCAGCTCCCATGCCACTGCGTCCTCTAAGCGGGGCAGCGATGGGTGACGCACATGCTGGGAGATGGGATGGGAGAGAGGGGTGGGGGAGGGGAGGGGGGGGTGCGGATGCATCGCTTTAGTGCAGCTCCCATGCCACGGCGTCCTCTAGTCGGGGCAGCGAGGGGCAACGCACATGCTGCGGGGGAGGGGAGAGGGAGACGGAAAAAGGCAGACGGGAGAGGAAAGTCGGCTCATTGTCCTCCCATCGCTGCAGCTCCCATGCCATGGCGGCCTCTAGTCAGGGCAGCGATGGGCGGGCGACGCACATGCTGGGCGGAGAGAGGAAGCAGGGTAAAGGGGGGGGGGGGGGGGGGACAGGGGAAATCGAGGAGCACAGGCTCGGTCGTCTCTCATCGCTGCAGCTCCCATTCCATGCGGGGCAGCGAGGGGCGCCGCACATGCTGGTCGAGAGGGAGAGAGAGGACCGTTTGAGAGAGGAAGCGGGGTCGGGGACAGGAAACGGAGGAAGCGAGAGGAGACCAGGTTTGGTCTTCTCCCATCGCTGCAGCTTCCATGCCAGGGGGTCCTCTAGCCGGAAGATGGGGAGATGGAAGAGGGGAGAGAGCACAAGGAGGGGGGATACGGAGGCATCGTTGCAGCTGCTATGCATGCAGTGAGGTGACTTTTGAGTCGACTCAAAAGTCAGCTGCTATGAATGCAATGCAGCCATGGGGGGAGAGAGGCGTCTGAATGGCGCCGCACCTGTTGGGTCAGAGCAAAAGGGGAGGAAAGTGGTGGGGGAGGAAGGCAGAGCGAGGGTACAAGAGCGGAAGAGAAGGGAGGGGCAGGGCGAGCACATGCTGTGCTGACGTGGACAGGCGGGAGTCAAAGCGGTCAATGCAAGCAAGGGAGGGGAGAGGGAACAGGTCGAGTGGCCCCATCCCATCTTCCCCTCCATCCCCTCCTCTTTATCCTCTTCCTCTCAATTCTTACAATCCCTCACCCCCCCTCTCCACTCCCCCTTTCCCCCTCCCCCCATCCCCCTCCCCTCCCCTCTCTCACCATCAGCAGCTGCTGCACTGACTTCTTGTCACTCGGTTCTCGCAGCCAAAACGGAACCTTCTGCGTACCTTCCCCCCTCCTCCAGCCTCCCCCCTTCCCCTTTATCCAACCAACCGCTCCCCCCACCCACCCCGCAGCTTCCCCCACCAGTGCCCCCACCCCCACCCCCCGCCCAGACGCTCCCCCAAACCCTCCCCCCGACCCTTCCCCCTGCCCCTCCGCCTCCCCCTTTGCCAGCAGGCGCGCCAGCACTGGCGCAAGCCCGCCCTCCTTGAGCCCCTGCCACCCATGCCGCTGCAACGTCAGCTCCAGAAGAGACAAATGGTCAGCGAACTCGGGCGGCAGAGTGGAGGGGAATGAGGAGAGGGCGGATGTCCCACTGGCACCAGAATCACCTGAAACACCACCTGAACCGCCTCCTGCAGCAATTGCTGTTGCCAAACCAGCTGTTTCAGTCCCCGCTGCAGCTGTGGCGGGTGCTACAGCTGGCGCTACAGCCGCCACTGCCCCCTCCGCATCCTCTATTGTCACATCAAAAGCCGGCACTATAGCGGGGGCAGCAGGCTCTGCGGCGATGCTAGCAGGAAGGGCAGTGTTGAGCGTCACATTCAGCTCCTGATTGGTTGCCAGCCGGACGAGGGGTGGAGAGCGGGAGGGGGGTTGCGGAAGGGGGAGGAGAGAAGGGGGGCATTTGTGAAGGGTTGGGCGGGGGTAAGGGCGGAGGGAGGTGGCGGACAAGGGGGGAAGTGTGGGCGGAAAGGGAATGTAGCATGAGCGATGCGGGTGTGTGTGGGAAGGAATGGGGGAAGCCTTGAACTGATTGAAAAATAGACACGTCAAACGTTAACAAAATCCAGCAAGAAAGGAAGAAAAAGGCAGAAAAAAACAACAAAAACAAGCAAACAGACAACAAACAACAATAGTCCATCACCATTCACCGTAATAATGTCAATGCCGCAAGTTACCTTATAAAAATACGTCAAACCAGCAATACCATTACAGTAATGTCAACACAGCGACAAACCTTTTAAACAAATTTCAGCGCAGCAATACCTTCTTTATTATGTCAACGCACGAGTCGCGCTCTCCAGAGTCCCAGAGGGCCACAGCGAGCCGCAGCTCGAGCTCCTGAATAAGACGAACGAGGCCGCCCGGCCCAAGAAACGCGGCGTCCGCCGTCACGCTCGAGAGCTTCGGCGGCGCGTCGCGCGATTTGAACGCCGACTTGCGCGGAGGCGCGGGGGAGGGGGAAGCGGGGTCCCCGGACGCGGGCTTGAGACCCGCGGCTTCGCGGAGAGTGGCGATAAGGGCGCGCGCCTCCGCAGTGTCCCCCGCCTCGATGGCTTGCAGCGCTGGTCGGAGAAAGCACGAAACGGGGGAGGCCGAGGGGATGGGGAGGGGCAGCGGGAAGGGGACGGCGGAGGAGGGCGGGAGCGAAAGTATGATTACGCACGAGGAAACGCGGAGTAGGTATGTGAACGGGGGTGCGGAGACAAAAGGGAATAAATGGAACGAGGGAGGAGCGAGCAATAATCGTTGCATAAGGGACGGCAGGGACTGTACCGCTGAAAAAGAGGTGCAAGAACCTTCCGGGAACGAGCGACGAGACAACCGCGGCACGGTCGGGCGAGAACGCGAACCGCTCGAGGGTCTCGAGCCACTGATGCTTCGCCACGTGCGACTCCATTGTCGACCGACGCTCGCGAAACGAGTGTAACAACTACACAGACTGTATCGAGCACGGGAATAAGGTTACGATTTTTCAACACATTAAACGGTTCTATCAGAAACCTAGCAAACAGCGGAACCCAGACTACGCGACGATGAGCATATTCAAGATCCTACTCCTTGGCTTGAATAACTAGCAAATAACACATTCAACAGAATTTGTACTAGCTGCCGAATGTTCTCCATTCATTGCTCCGTTTGTACGATGCAGAGAGGTTTCGTTGCTACAATGCGCGATGCAGAGAACTACAGCGCGGTAATCACACATTTTCTGCGCGTGTCAGGAATCTGCATGTATTCACTTTCCCCCCCCAGCAGCTCCGGAGCTAACAGAAACTTGAGACGAAATTCGGGTTACCAACTCATGGGACTGGCAGAGTCTGCCCGTGGAGGAGACGACAATTCTCGACAATAATTTCGTCGAGCTCGCATCTGACTATGGAGGATATTTGTGGCGGGGCGGAGAGTGGGAGGCTGACTGACAGTCCGGATAGTCTGGCGGAAATATGAACCGTAGCGCGCATGCGGGGAGGTTGCGTGTGGCATGACGTGGAGGAAGGTGCGGTGCACTTACTGAACGGGTGTTGTAACGAGGACACATTTTCGTGAAGACCACGCATGACCCAATGAATGGCACACATTATAAGGTACCTGCATTGCAAACATAAGAAAGCTTACAGTAATTTGAATCCTGACTTTCACCTTTAGCTGCTTGAGCTGAAACATAAATTTAGAGAATGGACATTGACATTTCAAGCCGCCAGCGCCTCGGCACAAGGATCCACGTCAGCTGCGCCACGCGCGCCGTCATCCATGCCCGCTTGGTTTCAGCAGCGAAAGGGGCGGGTGGGTGGGTCTGGAGGCGGACAGGTTGTCACAAATGTTCGTCTTTTTTAACCACGTGGCAACTCAACAAGCAGCATTCGCGACGCACATTTCAGTTACCGACGCCTTTGCGAAGGAGTTGTTGTGCTTTTGCAAAGCCCTGGCCCCTCAGCCGTCCCCCACCCCTGATTTCAGTTTTCGGTACTTCCTACTGCCACTCAATCGCACAGTTTCGATTTGTATCTGAGACAAGAACACCACCAAGATTCCATCCCGAACAACAATGATGCAGAATCCTTGCCCAACCCGAATCAAGCAGAAGTATTTATTGCTTTGAAATACGCCCTCCAAAAACTTCCCAATGCATTTCAGTGTCAGCAGAAATGAGCTTCGTTGCGGGTGAGCCTGCCAGTCCCGCAGTGAAAATCGAGCTGCGCCGCCAGCTCCATGCCTTTCGCGCAAAGTAAATAACACTGATGACTCTCATTTCCCAGCATCGACTCTTAGCGACACAACTTTCCTTTCCACCACCAAACAGTAAGTCCTAATATAAATATTTCGCCGTTAAGCCTCAATCTAAGTATCAACACAAGCTGAGCCTTGTTCCTTCGTTCTCTTAAAAAGCTAGAATGGCATCGTCCTTGATCGCGCGCGTTAGCCTGCTACTCTCACTACTTGCATTCGCTGTTCTTCACTCCAACGCCGTTCGCCTTATCCCCTCGCAAGAAAACGCTCTACTTTCCTTGAAAACCGCATGGCGTGACTGTCCGATAATCAATACGTGGGTAGCCGGCGCCGACTGCTCTGAATGGTACGGCGTCGGGTGCGACAAACGCGGAATGGTTACCGGTCTATACATCTCCAGCTACCTCGCAATGGGAGTAGCATGCACCGGCGAGTTGACGGACTCCGTTGGGAAGCTGACGGAGCTGACGTCGCTCGGTGTGTCCGGCATTTGGCGCATCTCTGGCAGCCTGCCCAAGAGCCTCGCGAAATTGAAGAAGCTAGAGTCGATCGCGATCGACTACAACAGACATGGCGTCCTCTCCGGTAACCTCCCAGATTATATCATCAATTTCATCCGCCTGACGGAGCTCGTGCTCCAGGGAACGGGGCTCACAGCATCCCACGCGGGATCTCGCAACTCAGTCGCCTCACGCGCCTCGACCTCCAATGGAACCGTCTCAGTGGCGAAATCCCTCGGGAACTGTCAGCGCTGGCGGCTCTCAAGACACTTGAATTGAGCGGGAATCGGCTGACGGGATCGATTCCACCGACCCTCGGCTACCTCACGGGTATGACGAGCCTGCGTCTTGGGAGTAACAAACTCTCGGGCGCACTTCCCGCAAATGTTATACTCTCTATGCAGAGCCTCGAAGAGCTGAATATGCAGAGTAATCGTTTCACTCAGCAAGCAGCTTCGTCTATCGCCGAACTCGCGAGCCATCAATCTTTGACAAACATTGACCTCAGTTGGAACACTCTTTCGGGCAGTGTGCCGTCCCAGCTCGGGCAGATGAAAAAACTGGAGTACCTGTACCTGACCGGGAATAAGCTGAAGGGATCCGTGCCCGCGGCTGTAATACAAAACATGCCGAAGCTGTACGACTTGGACCTTTCGTATAACAAGCTAAACGGAGAATTCCCCTGGTACGCATTTAAAACCGCGCCAGCGTTAGAGTTCGTGCGGCTCCAGCGCAACGCGTTCGTGGGCGCGATTCCTGCAGATGCATTTAAGAAAAGCCACGTGGCACATTTCAACATCTCCTTCAATCTCTTCTCGGGGCCCATGCCGAATTTCTGGTTCATGGGCGGGGAGGAGGAGCCGCCGGTAGACGTGCGCGGGAACTATTTTTGGGGCAGCCCGGAGTTTACAATGTATAATTACAAAGTCTGCCCGGAGGAGGGGCAGGAGCATCCCGACTCAGGCGATGACGAGTATCTCGCGGCGCTGAACTGCCTCGGAAAGAGCGCCACGTGTAACATGAAACAGCAGCGGAGTGCGTCAGCGTGCAGGCTGTTTTGCGGGACGAGTAAGACGAATCGTCCGTGCTCAGGCCACGGCGTGTGCGTTCCGGCAGGTGGGGGACAGTTCAAGTGCAGGTGTGCGAGTGGGTACAAATCGGTGCAGGGAAAGCCGCACGCGTGCGTCAAGGCATGAAGCTTTTAGATGCGTGGGCTGGTGGTAGTGGTTTTCAGATGCGTGTTGTGTGCTTGCGCGTGATTTTATCTTAGGCTGTGAAGCGGGTTCAGACGTGGTTCGGGGAAAATACGATTGTCCAGTGCATGTATGTCAATAAAACATATGTTTCTCTGAAAGGAAAAGCGTGCAAGTGGCACCAGCTCAAAGCAGTTCGTTGTGCTCACCAGGAATCGAGGAAGCATGCGCGTGAGTACAGCTTTCGTAAAATCCGAGTCTGGCTTGGTTCGAGTTTCCTGCAATGCGTGATGCTTCACCTTCTTCAAACAGTCTTAGATTTCGAAAGTGCACATAAGTGTTACCGTCGGACAAAACGCCTCCCAACTTGTTGAGGCTTCTGGACCTACTTTGGGGAAGTGAGAAATGCGGGAACCCGTCCCTGGTTTATATGGACAGGCACAAAACGCAAAATTGCTGATTTTCAACGACGCTATGCTGTGCCTGTGAAATGGTGTCGTAGTTGATCAGAAAGGCTTGCTCCTCGGCTCTGTTCTGCAGGCACATGCCGTGGGGGGGAGGAGGGGGGGGAAGGTAAATGACGAGGGTTCCTAAGCAGTTTCCCCGTCGATATCACCCCCTTCCCGCTACAGCCGAGAGCGAGAAACTTCGGGAGCAGGGGTGGAAGGTGCCGACGGTAAGTGACGAAATACCTGCTCAATTTCGCTTCCCCGAAGATGGGTGTCCCCAACCCCTGGAAATACCTCCCATGTCTCTCGCCACGCCCTGAAAAAGCGGGTTTCGTAGGGCGGGGCGAGTGACTTGATTTTTGCCAGAGGAGGAAGGTGGAGAGGGAAAGTAGGTAGCTTCCTTAGGGCCAAAACCCTCGAGGGTAAATGGCTGTTCTGTAGCCATTTCCCCTCGAACAGGTTCGGAGGGGAAATGGCTGGCTCGGCAACGTTTTGCGGGCTGACCGCTTTCCGAACCCAAAAAACGCAGTGGGGGAAGCTACCTATTTCCCCTCGCCCCCCACCGCCAGGGCCTACAGAACAGAGCCCTTCTGTCAGCGCGATGTGCGGGCTGTGATGTACTTGATTCAATTCGCAGCTTCGCAGAGGAGCGAACT